TCCCCTCTGGGGAGCCTCCTAGGTGGTTACCTTGTGCAGGAGCAGAAAGGAAAGGATGCCTGTGCCCAGAGAACGGCTGAGCGTCCACCTTCGTCATTCCCAGACCATCTCTTTTCTGAGTCCGCACAGCCTCGCTGAGCTCCGGCCAGGTGCTCATTCCTTTACTCTCTCCTCACTTTCTTCATTTCCTTGTGTAAAGTCCTTAAAGCACGTCCCCTCCCAGGAGGTAACCCCGGCAGCAGTGTGGTTTGTGTCCGTCCAGATCTTTCTCTGTGCTTCTCTCCCACAAAAATACAGCACTGCCTCATGTAGGGTTTTCCTTCTCCAGATGGCTGTGGTTCGGAATATCATGCCCGCCCCACACCGCCGGGCAATCTGGCCAGACTACATATAAGCCAACCCCATTCCTTTTAAAAATCACATCCATTCCAGGGCCCTCCCTGGTGGCGCAGCCGGTTAAAGAACAGCGCTAAGAAGCTAAAGCTGCTTCCGCATGAGTTCCATCCCTGCCTGCCCCGGAGGTGACCACATGGTGCAGCAGACCTCGCCCGCTGCTCCCCTCAGCAGTGGACTTTATCAGTTGGCTTGTTCTGCTCCCCACTCTGTCTCTGGTGAACCTCTCACCCCACACCTCTGGTTTGTACCCCAGTTCTGTATGCATAAGTAAACAGTCTTTAAAAAAAAAAAATCACATCCATTCCAGGCGAGAAAATGATAATGATGAACAGCTATGGACCAGAGACGGTTTCCGGGAGTGGAGTGGGGAATGGGATCAAAACCAGAGGGGGGAGGGAAATGCACTGGACTTTGGTGATGGCACACGCGTGATTTGGTGACGGGAAGCCCACGGGGATTGCAACTGAGCTGGAAAAACTCACAAAATAATGGGAAAATAAACTATTGTATATAAAATTTAAAGAAATAAAAATTTAAAAAAATCTCATCCACTGCTCAGTGTGAACCTGCGTGGTTAATTGGCCAGCCACGCAGATGTCCACGTAGGTTGTGTTCAGTTTTGCTCTTGCAAACAACATAAGCCGGACCTCCCTGAGCGACCGCACAGGTGCAAACAGACCTGCACCCTCGTGTTACTGTCAGCATTTTTTTTTTAAAGATTTGTGTATTTATTCCTATGAACTGGGGTGCAGGCCAGAGGTGCAGGGGTGAGAGGATTCCCCAGAGACAGAGGGGGAGCAGAGCAGTGGATAGACCAAAATGCACTGCTGAGGGGAGCAGCGGGGAGACAGGCGAGGTCTGCTGCGCCCTGGGGGTCAGCTCCGGGGCCGGGGATGGGGCTGCAGTGGCTGTGGAGGGCCTCACCGTGCTGCGCATGGCCCATGTGCACAGGGAGGCCCCCGCATCACGCGCACCCCACCTGCCTGGGCCGCTGCACCCTCCCGAGTGTTAGCTGTCAGAGCCCTTCTCTGGCTTCTCCCTTCGTGGCCCACAAGCGGCATCTCGCTGTTACGGTCACGCCCGCTCGTTCTTGCATCTGTCCGAGTGTCCACCGGCTCTCTGGTGCCAGGCTCCACGCTACGTGTCGGGGTACAGCACCAAGAAGCCTTGGGCCTCCACAAGACAGGCTCAGAGACGAGAAGAGACAGGCGTTAGCTGCACCCGAGTCTGTGTGGCCCCAGATCTGTACCCCAAGGGCCGGCTCAGCCCAGGAGCTGCGCCCTCCGCCCTGACTGCCCTCCTCTCCCCCCGGACGGCAGGTCCCTTCGTGTGCACGGGGCCTGCGGGGAAGACAGCTAGGCGGAGTCCTCGCGGGCCTCACTTCACCCCCAGAACCCACAGAAATGACATCTCAGCCAGAGGGAGGGCGGCTCAGCTTCAAGCTGCTCTCTCGGTGGCCGCGATCACATCTGTGTCTGTTTCCTGAATTTGGGTTTCCAGCGGGTCTGCCCCACCCCAAACCAAGCAAGTGAAAGAATGAATCTGTGGTTTGTTTTTTCCCTCTTGTCATGGTGTGTCTGACCGAACGGGTAGATGTGAGCGGCAGGTCCTCGGCCTGTGTCTCAGCGTGGAGGGGAGGGGTGTGCGGGGCCCGCCTGTGTGTGCAGAGGTGGGCCGAGGGGTCATTGACAAACCCAGGCCTGTGTCCAGTGGGTTCGAGTGGTGATTTCCTAGATCGCACCTGCGTATCCGTGTGTGCCTCGTCTCCCTGAGTGCCTTGAATCCCACATGCCGCCTGTCCTGGCTACTTCCCAGCTCTCTGCCTCTGTAATCAAAGCCCCTGCCTTCAGTGATCATATCACAAAAGGACACTGTCTCGGGGATCGGGGCGTCCCTGACCTTCTTCTGCTCCTGTTTCTACCTCCCCCTTCAGACGAACTGTTCACTGACGTCTTAGTGACTCTTGTGCGTACTGTGACCTTATGTTTTAAAGTAAGGAATGTGGATGTTGTAGGCAAAGCAAGAAGCTCTGACCTCAAACCTGCCCTCAGGGAGACCTTGATCATATTTTACTGAGAAACAGTGATGTGTCTGCTGAGGGTGTGGATTCAGTGGAAACACTTATGTCAAAGCCTCTGGCCCCAGTAGGTGCTCAGTATCAGTAAGGTACTTCCCAGCCTGCCTGGGCCTTCTGCATGGTACCAATCTGGAACATTCTCTGTGGACCCGACCCTGCCTCCGACCCTCTGCTGGACACTGGCACATGCATTAGCTGAGTGCGCCCAGGTGACCCCCAATTTATAGAGGGTGAGCTTCTGTACAGCAGGAGTAAGACCACGCAGCTGAGCTGAAAGAGCTCTCTGATCCAGACTCTGGCTCAGAGTCCTGCAGAAAGTGGACTTCCACTTTTTGTTGAGCTGTAATTGAGATATGACTTATTAGTTGCATAATGATTCTATATCAGCACAGTAAGTCCTCCCCCAGGCTCCGCCCTGTGGTGCCCACCCCTTTCCCCCAGACGCACCCATCATTTCCACTCTGGTCCCAGCTCCCATCTCCACCTGTTGCACCCATCTCTCTGGCCCAAATGAGGTTCAAAAATGGGAACAAGCACCTCTGAGCCCAGCGCTCTGCTGCAAAGCCCAGTGGGGTTCGAAGAGCAGAAGGTAATGACTTGGGGCCCCGACTGAACCCTCATCCTGTTGTCGTCTGGCAACTGACGTGCCGTGTCAATAGCGCGACGCCGCGTGTCCTCGGTGCCCCCGGGGTCCCCTGAGCCCGCCCAGCCACGAAGACGGGGCTTTTTTTAGTGCAGTAACTCGCAGCCCGTTGGGCACAGGACTCTGCCCACCTTTGCCTTGCCCGAACAAACAGGTGCTCAGTAGCTGTCCGCTTGCCTCCCCGGAAGCCTCCCTCCAGGCTGGCCGCCGTGCTAATAATGCTTCTCCTTGCTCCAAAGAAGACCAGAAACCGCGCGCAGCCTCGCGGTGGCTCAGACCCCACGCCTGCCGCGCCTGGCCCCCACCTCCCGTCCTGCCTGCACAGCCAGCCTCGTCCTTCCCCTCGCCGGGGTGCTGGCACACGCTGTTCCTGCCCTGGAATGTCCTCGGCTCGGGTCTCCACCAGCCCTCCCAGCTGCCGACGCCCAGGCCGCTGCCTGGACACGGGCTTCTGTTTGCCTCCTTGCGTCATGTGGGCAGGGTCACCTTCCCAGAACCTAGCGCAACCCCTGAGGAAATGCGTTTCGTGCCGTGTGTTGGTTGGAACAGGTGAGGCTCAGAGGCTCGGAGGAGGCGCAGCAGGGAGCCAGGGGAGCCAGGATTCGAACGCAGGCTGCTCTGGGCAGCAAAATGCACCTGCCTAGCCCCTCTGCCTGTCCCCTGCCACGCCCGGGGTTGCTACAGTACATGAGCCAGGCACACTCTGTGTGCACGCACCCCGTGTGTGCGTCTATGTACCCCGTGTGCGCACCCCGCGTGTGCACGCACCCCGTGTGCGCATCTATGTACCCCGTGTGCGCACCCCGCGTGTGCACGCACCCCGTGTGCGCATCTATGTACCCCGCGTGTGCACCCTCCGTGTGTGCACGCACCCCGTGTGCGCATCTATGTACCCCGTGTGCGCACCCCGCGTGTGTGCACGCACCCCGTGTGCGCATCTATGTACCCCGTGTGCACCCCCCGCGTGTGCACGCACCCCGTGTGCGCATCTATGTACCCCGTGTGCTCACCCCGCGTGTGTGCACGCACCCCGTGTGCGCATCTATGTACCCCGGTGTGCACCCCCGCGTGTGCACGCACCGTGTGCGCATCTATGTACCCCGCGTGTGCACCCGTGTGTGTACGCACCCCATGTGTGCATCTATGTACCCCGCGTGTGCACCCGTGTGTGCACGCACCCCATGTGTGCATCTATGTACCCCGCGTGTGCACCCCCGTGTGTGCACGCACCCCGTGTGTGCATCTATGTACCCCG